GTCTGGTGGCAGTTCTAACGGCTCCTGCTGGGCCACAACATACATACATACATACATACATACATACATACATACATACATACATACGTGTGTGTGTGTGTGTGTGTGTGTATGTTTGTACGTACACAGTAGTATTTCTGCATTTTTAGCTAAGACATTTTCCCATCTCTGGGAGCATAAAACTGAAAATAGAAGTCTTTGGGTGGTTAGTTACTGTTCAAAGAGCAAGTCTTTTTACAGATTGTCTGTGAGACATGAATCACTGCAAAAATAAAACCAAGCCCTGGAATGCCACCATCTGAATGAGATAATGATTGAGTTGGTGACTTCTGTCTTGTAAGGTTAAGCCCATAAGACAAGAATTATTTCTGTAATCTTGACATGACAATATGAAAACTTGGAGTGCTACAAGGAACCAACCGGAAAGATTAGGTTCTCCAAAGGTCAGGTTACGATGCAGTGATATCCCTTTTCTCTTCTGAAGGCAAGCTCTGGGGGTGGACAGTGTAATTTCTATTCATGCTTGCCCCGTGAAAAGACCTCCTTCTCTTCGAATAAATACAAAAGTGCTCTGCAGCCATAAATAAAATTAACAGTAAATAAAGTCAAGAATAATACCTTAAGAGTGACATATTTGCTTTAACATCTTGAAGTAAAACAGACCCTCAAATCTAAATGGAGTAAAATGCCATACTAAATAACAGCTTAGGCTGACCACCTAGACCAGGGGTCAGCAACATGCAGCTTTGGAGTTGCATGTGGCTCTGGAGCCGCATGTGGCTCTTTCATCCCTCTGCTGTGGCTCCTTGTCGCCTGTTGGCTCCACAATTGATAGGGCTTTCGGTTAGGACAGGTAGAGGAAAAGGATGCCACACTAGGAGGAGACTCTATGGTGGGAGAACCAGATTTCTGGCCGGCCCCAGAATTGAACGGGGGGCTTCCGAATAGGACCTTTGGGGCTCTTTAAGTGTTTAAGGTTGCCAACTCCTGACCTTAGACCAAATGATGATTTGTTTTTAGAATTACAACCCTTTTTCATCAGTCAATAATTTGCCGTTTTGCTCCATCGAATGATGGGTACACCTGTTTTTGATTTTCCCAGTGCTATACTTGAAATGCTTCCCAGTGGACGAATGTACCACCGTTGCTATTATTTTCAGTTCCTCTCAAGGGTGGAAGGCTTAGTAGAATTGATGCTAATGACTTTTATTTGAATAATAGCATCGTCTTGTCAACGTCAAATATAATCACCGTTCTATTTTAGTGTCTTGGTTTTCAAATGGAATTGCTGATAATTTACTGAGTTGGAGGGGTTGTTTTTTTTTAGCACCTAGTCTCTTTAGTATGGCCTTAAGAGATAACCTATTGATCTAGGTAAATAGGAAAACCCAATTTGCTTAGCTTTTACATGCAACACGGGAACATTAAAATAGAAGTAAGTGTGGATAGCATTATGCACGCTGCCCATGTGATACGCTCCGTTACAGTGACTCCAAAGTCAATCTCCTTTAAGGACTTTGTGATTTTTATGACTCTCACATCCATACTCCGTGACTGAAGGTACAACTGCAAGACTCATTAACTCGTCTCTAACTGAAATGGTCTCTCTACCAGTATTAATACAAGCAATTAAGTCAGAATTTCTCCTGGCAAAAACAATCACAGCAGATGGCACCTTTTCTGTCTATTAATTTCTGATTGGACATGTACTTTGGCTTGTTCAGTTATGTCGTAGCTGTAACATAACAAGGATAATTCAGGCCACTACAATGCAGTATTTACAGGGATGCTAGAAGAATTTACAGTGTTTTATATATTAAAATTATATTCATTTTATGGATGATCAAGTTATAGATTTCAGTGCTGCAGTGCTGATAAAGTAATTTGAGGACACTTATATCCATTTGAAAAAGGGCCTTTTGAGCTTGTCTCTAAAAAAGTTAAGGATTAAATAACCTGTTCTAGCAATAGCAAATAGCTTTTATTTTAGACTTTTATACCGCTTCATAGTGTTTTACAGCTCTCTCTAAGCGGTTTACAAAGTCAGCATCTTGCCTCCAACAATCTGGATCTTCATTTTACCAACCTTGGAAGGATGGAAGGCTGAGTCAACCTTGAGCCGATGAGGATTGAGCTGCTGGCAGTGGGCAGAATTATTGTCAGTGTTCCAAGTATCATGTAGAATTAAATCAGAGTCCAAGGCAAAATGATCTTTAAAGTTCCAATTTAATAAATCAGACATCTTAGCATCGTGCTGTGGAATCCCAATTCTAAAGAACTTCCAGGGATTCTACCCAGTTAAAAGTTCATGATCTTATCCCCACACCCACAAATCCATCACATGGTCCAATTTTCTTCGTCCACACTGGCATCTCCACCCAGCTGCTTCCAGTCAGGTGCAAAGGTGCAGAGACAAAAGATGACCTTGGTCTTCTAGAAAAGAATTACAACAACACATTCCACAATCCTACTCCTTTCTATTCCCCCCTCCCAACTACTACACTAATGAAACAGCACAGTGAAATAACAGAAAGTGAAGCAGGCCAAAGATCCTAAAAGGGATATAATTGCAGGCCTGATAATTATACTGAAATACTGTATTCTAAGCACTGGGAAAGAAGGAGGGAAGGAAGGAAGGAAGGAAGGAAGGAAGGAAGGAAGGAAGGAAGGAAGGAGGGAGGGAGGGAGGGAGGGAGGGAAAAAAGGACAATAGCATTAGCAATAGCACTTAGACTTATATACTACTTTATAGTGCTTTACCGCTCTTTCTAAGCAGTTTACAGAGTCAGCATATTGTCCGCAGCAATCTGAGTCATCAATTTACTAACTTTGGAAGGATGGAAGGTTAAGTAACATAATAACAGAATAATAACAAAACAGAATAACAGAGTTGGAAGGGAACATGCAGGTCTTCTAGTCCAACCCTCTACTCTGTAGCAGGGACCCTACAACATGCCAGACAAATGGCTGTCCAATCTCTTCTCACCAACCTCCAGTGATAGAGCACCCACTACCTCTGGAGGAAAGCTGTTCCATTGATTGATTGTTCTCAATGTCAGGAAATTTCTCCTTAGTTCTAGGTTAGATCTCTCCATGACGAGCTTCCAGCTATTGCTTCTTGTCCTGCCTTCAGCAGGACAATAGGTTGAGTCCCACTTCTTTGTGGCAGCTCCTTAGATATCGAAACATTACTATCATGTCCTCTCTAATCATTCTCTTCATTAGACTGGACCGGGGGTTGGCAACCTTAAACACTCGAAGAGCCACATTGGTCGTAACTGAAATCCCCCCATTCAATTCTGAGCTGACAGGAAGTCTGGTTCCCCCACCAGAGTCTCCTTTTAGCGCAGCATCCTTTTTCCTCTACCTGTCCTAACCAAAAGCCCTATCAATTGTAGAAAACCTTCCCTTTCCCATAGAGTCTCTTCCTGTGTGCCATGCTCCCCCCCTCAAACTGGAACCTCCTCTGAAAATTGTGGCACCAACTGGGAACAGGGAGCCACAACAGAGGGATGAAAGAGCCACATGTGTCTCTAGAGTCGCGGGTTGCCAACCCCTGGACTTGACATGCCCAGTTCCTTCAACCGTTCTTCATACAATTTAGCCTCCAGTTCCCTAATCATCTTTGTTGTTCTTCTCCGCACTCTTTCGGGTTAGTTAAAATATACATCTCTTGGTTGTTTTCTCCAATTTTATTGCACAAGTGCATTGGATGTGCTGATTCTAACAAGCTACTTAACTGTAACTTCTATTTACAGGTTGCCTGCATGCAGTTCATAAATGCCCTCGTCACATCTCCAGAAGAGCTTGATTTTAGGGTACATTTGAGAAATGAATTCCTGCGCTGTGGGCTAAAGAAAATATTACCAGTAAGTTACTTGCAATAGAAGTGCTAATGAACCAGGCTCATTGTGTTTGCTTGCTATGTGATGGTAAATCTAACAAAAGACTTGCAAGATATGACTAAGTTTGACCTTAATGGTTCTTTATCATTTTTAATCATTGTGAAAGGGAAGCAGAATGCTGCAGCATTAAAAATGTTCATCAGTGGAAAAAAATAGTTTTATTTCTATGACAAATGATCACTTTTATTGATGTAGGGAATTTTAAAGTATGTGCTGGGTAGTTAATAGTGCCATGAACTTATGATCAGGAGAATCAAAGTTTTTAAATGAAATTCAGACTGTGGACTGGTTTTAAGTTTCAATTTCTGATTCCAAAATGACTTCTAAGGAATTGTAAAGAATCGAACGATTTTGCATTTATGGTAAACTAGAACTGTTGTTCTTGTACACACTGTTAATTTCACATATGTTTTTATACTTCTTTAGGTAAGAAAAGCATATTATGTGCATAGCATACGGTATATCTTATCAGAGAAGCCCTTCATATTAAAAAAAAAGTTCCCCTTAAATTTTAAAGGAAAAATATAGCTATTTTCCATTTTTTAAGTCAAGAAAGAACTACTGTTGAGTCCTTTTAAAGAAATATAGTAAATTAAATATTTCTGTCCAGTGCGGAAAATCAGGAGTCCAGACAGTTCAAATGGATATATAGATTTATTGTATGCTAAAGTTTTCTACAAGAATCTGAACTACTAATAATCGAAGCAAGTTAGTGTTAAATAAGTCAAGGTGGGCACACTTAAATCTCTTCTGGGTGTAAAGGAATTCGAGACTCCTCCCTCGAGCTCAGCCTGGATATCACTTTCAATTTCACTTATTAGAAATGCACAGAAGGAATAACATTATTTGCCCGTTGGATTGTTCTCCTGAGGCCGGTTAGAAAAGAAACTGTATAAATGTTGGTCTTCATCTAATCCTTTCAAAATTAAACTGTAATCAACAGGAGCTGATTTTGATTGGCAAGCAGTCTGTAGAGGAGAAATAAATGGGAATAGGTAGCTTGTTTGTAACATAGATGAAAAGGATTTAAGGCAAGCAAAATGCCACATCAATTAATTGGTTCTTAAGGATGCAGAGTAGAGACAAATTCACTCCTATAGAGTCATAGAGAAAGTGGGCTATTTTTTGAAGAATATTGGGAATGTTGCCCCAATCAAAAGACTTCATCCTGGCTGTTTTGTTAATGAAGCAATAATTTAAAATATTCCAATTCTGTCAGAGTGTTTGCAGTGTGACTACTATTAGGATACAAAACACAGCATACAGAGACTTAGATGTTTAACAGTGATTTAAATACAAGATATATACAGACATATACATGGTAGCAAATACCTGACAAGCAGTCAGTCTTTTTCTTAACACTCCACAGAGAGCTTAGCAATGGATACAGGACACAAGGAGAGAGATACACCAAGAGAGAGAAATACACCCTCTCCTGGCTGCCTTATATAAACTCCTCTTAAAGTGGTAAAGACTTTTGTGGACCCTTTCATAGTCTTAAACAGGCTATACCAATGCTGATTCATCTTCATTGCAGCAGCCTTACATTTCATTAGCTTGACTTACAGTTCCATCAGCCTTATATTGGCTGGTCAGCTTTAAATCATCCTTACCCTGACAAATTCCTTGTACATAAAGCATTATTATTTTTTTTAAAAAAAAGTTGGCTCACTGCAGAAAGGATAGCGAGAAGATATTGGGTCTTCTGTTTAATCATGATTTGGGAGCATCTTTATTAGGTAAGATCCCCGTTTGGAGAGCGAGTACGTTCAGCGAAGCGTTGTGAGAGTTGTGTTGGAGAACACACAAACCAGCCATACAGAGACACTGCAGTTTAAATAGGCTTTTACTTTCATGGAAATAGAGGTATCAGAGTCCATCAAACAGTCCAAGTCATACT